CTCCTCCTCCTCCTTCGTCATCCTTTTTTTTTTTTCGTCGACGTATCATGAAACCGGCAGGTCCTTTGCCCTATGGGTGGCGGCGCCATCAGTGGGAATGGGAGACTCACTAGTGGCGGTGGGAATGTTTCCCGGGCGCGAAGGGTAAAGTAATTTCCAGCCATAACCGCGTTTGGAGTTACAGTATTGTTTACTTTCTAAGAGTGGCTGATCTCCAAGAATAGGAACAGTGACACAGGGTCACCCATGCCTTGAGTGGTGTGGGGAGTGTTCGATGCTCGACTTTATGCCATTTGGGAAAATCTCGCTCGTATCTTCTCCGCTCGTATCTTCTGTGGGCACGGTTATCCATATCTCCCTCCCTTTGAATTCCCTTGGACTCTCTATAGGTGGCTGTTTTCTTGGCTGTTTTCAATCGTTTATTTTCTGTAGACAATATTAATACGCCCGGCTCCAATTTTTGTTAAGATTAAATTTAGTACGTACTTGGACTGAATTTTAGAATTGATTTGTACCTAAGAATTTAGTACACTTTTGGAAATAATTTTAGGGTTAAATTGTAAAATTTTCCTGACAGTTTACAGCTCGTAGTTCTTTGCCAATAGTGTTTCGATCTTAGAAACATGCCGGTGTTTTTCTGTGCAGCAAGGATATTATACTGCCATACATTTGCTTTGCAATTTTTTCATTTTTGGAGATTCTAGGACCCGGTTTCCAGGAGCCTAAGCTGAGTATTGGCCTCAGCAGGCTTGTACCGGGTTGACATGTAGGAGTGTGTTCCCGGGCCCCGGTGGTCTCATTTGGAATGAAAAGTGTTATGTTTCTCAAAAAAAAAAAAAAAAAAACGGTTGTAGGGCTTTTCAAAACCTACAACCCCGTAGTTTTTTTTTTTTTTTTTCCCATTTTTGAAAAATAAATATGTCAAATTATCGGCCGCGCCCAATTGCCCGGGCCATGGACGACGGTTGGGATCCCGACCGCAATCCGAGTTTGGCCCCGCGGTCATGACCGCAGGGAATTCATAGCTCAAGGACACACAAAAGTCCAGGCGCCGCCCGTGACCTTGGAAACTGTGAAGACGTCCTACCCTCCCTACCTTCCCTACCCCGCACAAAAACGTGCCGATAATTTCTTCCGCGGTACTTTTCCAGATCGGAAACTATGTGAAAAGGGAAAATCCCGTCCATTCGCTGACAATTTCGGGATGTGGGGTCCCATACCAACTCTCTTGGAAAAAGAAAACGGTCTTCCAAGGACTCCGCATAAGCTTGTTGGGTACCGGAAATGTTTCGCAGCAAAGTTTTTCGGTCGGCATCGCTGTGGGGTCCAAGCCTAAGGCAAAATTGAAGCACTTCTCTCAACACAAGGACATCCAAGAAGGATAACAAGAGTCACCACAACAATGCTTTATCTGCCATGCAGCCTATGTAACTGTACTGGGGGGCTGGACCGGCTTCCCAGCAGGTGATGCTCCCTACCAATTGATGGAGACGTCCACACATATTACCCATTTCATGAGGATGCTCTTATCACCTCCTCATAGTGGAAACATTCCCCAAACAGTTTTGGGAGTGGTTTTGGAACCACCTCTCGGACCACCTGATGGGTTACTACAAAGCAGGATAGAAGGATAGGATCTTCAGTTTACTGATAACACATAATATCCTCTTATTGCAGTACAAAAAGAGAGAGATGGTAAATGGCATCTTAAAGGTAGCCAGACAGGAGAAATTGAGTGTAACTTTCACCAAAATGTGGCAACCAAACTTCATATTAATACAATCTTAGCCCCAAAATTTTACCTCCAAAGATCAGTTAGGTAAAGAGATACCATAGCTCCCAGTATGGTTATTATTGTCATGGAGGCTTGGCAACTAATTTATGAGCAAATAAAGAACTGACAAAAATTAAGGTGGTGTTGATGACTATGGAGGTCATACCATCTTCGTTAGCATACACGGAAGAGTTTAGGAATGCAATGCATTCATACTATGAGTTATTGGATATGGTTGTTAATCGGGGGATAGGATGGTAGAGCAATCACCAAGGAGTAAGGTCGCCAGCACACTTAAGGATCTACGGCCTTCCGTGCTGGGAGTACGTTTGGTAATATATGACAGGCCGGTGAACAACAATTTTGTAAAAACGGACATTTTTTATTGGGGTAACTACGCGGGAGTCACAAAAACAGTTTGAAATTACACTTTGGGCCAAAACGAGTTTCAAATTGCACTCCGGGCAAAACAGTTTGAAATTACACTTCGGGCCAAAACGAGTTTCAAATTGCACTCCGGGCAATACATCGCCCGGAGTGCAATTTGAAACTCGTTTTTTGGCCCAAAGTGTAATTTCAAACTGTTTTTGTGACTCCCGTGTAGTTACCCTTTTTTATTTTTTGAACGAAATTGAAACCGACTAAATTGACCCGATTCGGGGTCAAAAATTTTAGCTCTTGAGGGTCTGGTGTTCTTTAAATGTCATACCTCCTGGATGTATCCGGGCTTAGCTGAAGTCCACGAGAGCACAACGTTTTAAGAACGCTGGACCCTCAATTCCATTAAAATTTCGACATTAATAGTGCCAATTTAGTCGGTTTCAATTTAGTTCAAAAAATGAAAAATGACCATTTTGATGAAATTGTTGTTCTTACAAGGGTATTTACTCGGGTTTTTGTAAGTCGCACAAAGTGCGGTCAAATTTCATAAATGACCGGATAGGATAGATGATGCCCTCACGACAATGTTTAGCAATTAGTAGCTCTATCAAAGGGGGAATACTACTTGTTGGTTCGGCTACCCATACTCTTGCCGCTTCACCATGCTTGCATACCAAGGGGGGCGCACGCATTATTAGTGTGCGGTCTCGTATACCATTCTCACAAAACTCACGGTGAGATCGTAACATCACTACACCCTATCTTTCAAACGGTCTATAGACGTCAACGTCTGGTGTGTGGTTCTATTCATTTTATATAATCAAGTTTCCGGAAGTGCTCTCAACATGGAATCCCACTCAAGAGAGTCGTTCACGACACTGCACTCTCCGAGGGGGCACTCCCAATTCCCAAAATGATCGATACCGCTTCCAGACAGGCTTAGTGTGACTCATTCTGACAGATGTCTGTTGTCCCATGGAGCTCCACTCCTGAATCTTGGATGAAAGGGCCTCGCCACACTGCTCTCGGAAACTCGTTAGTGCACCGCCACACCTCCTCTTGAAGACCAAAACCCAAAACCAGATTGAGAGGTGTCAGGGATTTCAAGTTCAGTTCAAAAAGCCCTCTCCAACCTCACCTCCCGGCCAGCCTGCAGGAAGCCCGATTTCGAGAGTCCTCTTGCCAGCCCTCCGAGACCTCTGGCTTTCCTAGAGCTGTCATGATACGTGACAATTTCTTTTCGGCTAGATTCATTGAATTAGAGAGCGAGCAATTGGACAGGTGGTGTGGCTAAGAGCCCAAATCTCTTGAAAGCACTACTCTCCAAATCATCTAATGCTGCCATTTTGGAGACTACCGGGGCCATGCCCCACTCGTCGAGGTTTAGTTCTGGTTTCAAGTACGCAGGGCTCCCTGCCATCCTATCTGAAAATTCCAGTGTGACCACGTTGAAAAATACACGAAACATACACTAACCCCCCGCTAGTGGGACATGCCCCCCGGTAGTGTGGCCAGGCCCAAACTCAGGAGGTCCAGAGGAGCTCACTTGAAAATGCAGCTTTGCAGGCGGGAGGTCAAGTTAGTTTTGGGGTATCGCCACACCACTCTCGAAATTTGCAAAATGGGAATGAACTTCCAGCTAGAACATGGCCAGATGCCCCCGCCACATTTTTGTCTTTTTCACATTTCGAGAGTGGTGTGGCGAGGCCCTTGGAAGTGCTCTCGGGAGCCCCCATTCTGACAACTCCGGAATTCATTCTCACAAATCAAATTCCATCGTGTGGCGACGCTGAAGGCTGCACTCACGACTGTACTTGAACAGGATCTGTTCTGTTGGTCGTACGCTCTTCTGTATCGACGAATACAGAACGCTGCACTCCACCAACTGGCCTTTTTATTTGTGTCCAGGTGTGTCTGGAGCATAAAATAGCTCAACTGGTACACCTAAGAACCGTTGAAATTCAGACCCGACTTCGAATTCCAATAGAATCTGACGAGTCAAAATAACTCTGAATTTACCTGGTCAGTTATCAAAGAGGATATCTGAAGGCCATCGCCCGAATGCTGCACTCCCGGAAAATGGCCAGTCTCGGGAGTAGTGTGGCGAGCCAATTAGGGCCTCGTCGCACTACTCGCCATCCACCAACATTTTGATCGCATGTGGACATCATTTTGTCCAGATGCATTCGAAATCTTGGCGGATGACGAGTAGTGCAACTAGGCCTAAAAGTTGTATTCAGAATCGACCACACTCCAAACTATCATGGCGCTCTGTTCAAATACAAGGCCTAAAAGTTGTATTCAGAATCGACCGCACTCCAAACTATCTAGGTATTAAAAAAAAAAAAAAAAAAAAAAAAAAAAAACTATCTAGGTCTTCATATTTTTGAAACTCGGCAACGCCGAGGTATACGTTCGGCGAAATACATCGCCTGACAAGGTGATCATTGAGATTTTCGAGATTTTCGCGATTCTTGCTTGCGTCGCAGCATTGACTCGTCCTTGGGGATATCCGTTGAAATTGGAATTGGAACGACACAGACCCCTGCTACAAGGATGATCCCCATAAATCGAGAAATGGCCCAAGACTGACTCTGCGGCTGCCACGAGTTTGTGGTCACGACGCACCTGATCGAACCCCATACCTCCCTAAAACAGGTCTGTGGTTGAGAGGGAGGTGCTAGAAAGTCCCATACACAAACACACGACATACATCACACACCCACGCGTAGACAGACGTAAGAGAGAGAGAGAGAGAGAGAGAGAGAGAGAGAGAGAGAGAGAGAGAGAGAGAGAGGAACACTGTCTGTGACAGAAAGAGTGTGCGTGCGCCTGTGTATGAGCCGGGTGTGTGTGTGTGTGTGTGTGTGGTTGTTGTGTGTGTGGGGGGGGGGGGGGGGGAGAGAGAGAGAGAGAGAGAGAGAGAGAGAGAGAGAGAGAGAGAGAGAGAGAGAGAGAGAGAGAGAGAGAGAGATGTTGCGGGTTCTGGATTTGGGTAGCGTGGCAGGAGAGTTGTTACCTGGAGTTGTTTATCCATCTTCTCCGCGGGTCGCGCGAGAAATAGATGGCTCTAGTTGCCGACAGTCTCTTGTAGTGCAGCTTCCCAGGTTTCAGTCGGATCCTCGCACTCGGCCATGCGCCAGGGCCAATGCCACGTGTCCCTCGCTCTCTTGGGCGACGTTTCAGCGGCAGTCGAGATCTGTGCCGAGAGTTCGGTCGGGATCGGCCGGTGTGGACAGGTGGACGTGCGCGGCGACACTTGGAAGGAGGAGAAGGGAGGAGGCGCTCCGCCTGCGAGCGCATATCCCAGTACCAGTAGGTGCGTCGTCCCTGGACTGGTTGTGGAACGGATTGCGCGGCCGCGGTCCCGACTGTCGGCGGCTGACAGCTGGTCACTCGAAGATCAGGCGCATGCCTGACGAGACGGACATGTCGTACGACAGCGTGGTTGGTCGGGATCGGATCCACCGTGCGCAAGGAAAGCGTGCGCCAAGAGCGGATCAAGGGCCCTGGATGCAAGCGGTCGGGACTGCAAGAGCTAAGGGGTCGGGATCTGAAACAGTTGTGAATGTGATGAGGAGGAGGAGGCGTCGATTCGAGGGATGCGAGCAAGGGAGAGGACGTCGCTCACAGGCGATTTTATCGGGCGTGGGTGGTGATCCGGATCGCGGCGTCTCAGGAGGAGGCGGCCTTGACGTGGGAATAAGGAACGATCCCGGTCCCGATCCCGATGCTGACGTGGCGGCTGGATCGGCTGCAAATAAAGAAGGCGGAGGTTCTGCCAGCTGTCACCAGTCAACGACCTCGTTGTCAACGGTCGGCGGCGAGTGCTCGGCCGATCAAGTCAGTACCTTTTTTTTTTTTTTTTTGTCTTTTTTGTCCTTTTCTTCTGTGACCAATCGGCGAAAAACGAAGGCGATCTCTCCTGCCACGTGGCAGCAGTCGCTGCCTTCTGTCTCCTATCTGCCAGCTGTCACCCCTCTACTGTTGACAGTGCCACGCAATTATTTGTCTTCCACGTGGCAGGATTCCCTGCCTCCTCGTCTTTCTTCTCCTAATGCCCACGGTGCTTCTCATTGGATACACAGCGAACTGTGCTCAGCGTTATCGTTCTCTCTCTCTCTCTCTCTCTCTCTCTCTCTCTCTCTCTCTCTCTCTCTCTCTGTTTTTCTCTCTCCCACTCTCTCTCCCACTCTCTCTCTCTCTCTCTCTCTCTCTCTCTCTCTCTCTCTCTCTCTCTCCCCTCTCTGTTTTTCTCTCTCCCTCTCTCGGTCTGTCTCTCGTTCTCTCTATTTTTCACTAGACTACCGCCTCCATGTGTTCTCTCTCTCTCTCTCTCTCTCTCTCTCTCTCTCTCTCTCTCCGATTTTCTCTCTC